TGATTACAACCTGATCTACACATATGTGAAGACTGCCCAAGCCTCAGGTTATTCCAGCATTCATCGATCAAAAGAAGCTTGTTGAGCATGATTGTTTTTGTCTTGTCCTTATACACACAAAAGACAAACTCATATCCTTTCTAAAGCATAGTACGGTACGGAGCCGATTAGTTGACTCTACTACCCACTAACTCCATGAAAGGATGTCTGTTCATGAATAGGCTTTTTGTACTATTCACTGTAACAAAGGACAAGTCTTTCTCTAAAGGCTTGATACGTGTTCAAACCCTAATACATTGCATTAAATGTGCATTTAATGCTATGGGTATATATGTATTCTATCTCCATGCAGAGATATTGATACTTACTCTTGAACCCTAACTTATGTTCATAAGTAAAAGAACACACATCTAAGAACACAATACGCTTATCTTCAAAAGCAAGTTAGAACCCCTTTCTAGTATTCTAAATAGTTCTTACCCAGAAAGAACTTACTTTCTTTTAAGTCTTATACAGCAAATCATTTCTCTTTGCTAAGAATTAGTGTGTAACTTAGATTGTTTAGATTTGTTATATTTACCTTATCTTTCCGCAAACAATCTTTTAAAATTTGTATTGATCCTCCTTTATCAATATATATTTTAAATTTGAAAAGTTTACTTTGTTTGTATTCATCCCCTTCTTCTACAAATTATTATACACATTTTATAGACCATAACGGGATCAACAAACACTAACATATGTGAAACAATATGTTAAATCATAGCTTTTGATAAATTTAAAAAAAAGAATGGAAACAGATATTTTTATATCGATTCTCATATGTTTGTAACATTTTTGTGGTTCTCATTTGATTTTCGTCCTTTCTCTCTCTCTCTCTCTCCCTCTCTCTCTCTCTCTATATATATATATATATATCTTAAAAAATAAGTAACTTTTGGAATACGTGTCATGTTTATGTGCCACACCTTCCTTACCTGTTCGATATTTATTATGATTATATTGGTCAACAATTTAATCCCAATACACTTAAATGACATAAGTGATACAAATCATCAACATGAAGTCATCAGTTGGTTATTTCTCATACATACAACATAACTCTGAATTCCTCTTATTCAGAGTTAAGTCCAGAGTTATTTTTCAGCCTAACAATAGAATTTTGAATTCTTTTGTTCCAAAGTTAATGTTCAGAGTTTTCTTTCAAAGTTAATGTTCATAGATTTTCTCATTCAAAATACCCCGTGTAATACATGGGTCGAACCTAGTATATATATATATATATATATACATATACATATATCTATATAGGGGAACGTTCAAATAAAAACCATGCAATTTGTACAACCGTGAAAACTACATTCAACCAATCATAATTTTTCATTTTGTTCATTTTTTTGTAATTATGAGAGGTTGATTAACCATTTTTATTGTGGAGGGTGTTAATCATGGATATTATCATCTTCATTATTTTAATTTTAGAGAAATACATGAAACAGTTTCATTAAAATTTCATTAAATATTATATGAAACA